TCCGCATTTGCTTGTCCTTAAGGGACAGGGGTGCATCATGATGATGCCAGAGACGTGACCATTGGTGATGATGGTGTGTTGAGGATGCAGGGCCGGATTTGCGTGCCCAATGTGGATGGGCTTCGGGAGTTGATATTGGAGGAGGCCCATAACTCGCGGTATTCCATTCATCCAGGTGTCGCGAAGATGTATCCGGATCTTAGACAGCACTATTGGTGGCGGAGGATGAAGAGAGATATTGTGGAGTTTGTAGCCCGGTGTCTTAATTGTCAGCAGGTGAAATATGAGCATCAGAGACCGGGTGGCTTGCACCAGCAGATGGTTATTCCTGAGTGGAAGTGGGAGAGGATCACTATGGATTTTGTTACCGGACTCCCTCGGACTTTGAAGAAGCATGGATAAAATTATCTTGAAATCACTTGAAATAATTGACAAACTTTCAAAAGAAATTATCAAAGTATAGAAGTAGTAATTTTCAATATTTTGCAAATAATACGCATGTCCAAAAGCCTATTTCAAGATTTATCCATTTATTTTCCACGCTATAAAGAATATTCAGAATCAATAAAAAGCTAGTGGTGTTCGTTGGATTCAAACTCCCTCCACTCATCACGATGACACTCTCTCTTCTCTCTCCTTCTCCGTCTGCTCTATGCTTTGTCGGTTCCACTTCTTCGTCATCGGCTGAATTCACCGGCCATTTCAGAAGGCTATGGACAAGCAGAAGCAGAACCGGACCGGCACTTCCTGTTCTCACGAGAGCTTCTTCAGAGAAAGATGATGATAAACCGGCATTCAACCCGTTCGGTTTTGTCACTGACAATCCGTCTAGCCGAAGCGCAATTCAGATGCCTGAGAGTCCTGCTGAGGACGGAAACGTCGGCCAAATGCTTTACGTAACTCAATTCATGTCTTATACTTACTAGTTTTTTTTCCTGTATACTCGAAATTCAGTGATTTAAATGATACGAAAAATAGTTTTGTGACTTTGCTAATACAAAAAAATTAAATGACTTTAATTATACAAAAACTAAATTTGTGACTTTACTTATACAACATGCTAAAGTTTAGTGACTTTAATGATACAAAAAGTAGTCTTGTGAATTTGCTGATGCAATGTGTAAAGTTTAGTGACGATGCATAAAATTAGCCCTGCATTTGTGTTAGAAATTCTTCGCAGAATCTAAAATCATTGAAGTAACTTAGTGATTATTTCGTGTAGAGAATTGAAGACAAAGGAAAGGAATACGGATCTTATGTCAAATCAGGAAAATTCAGGTGGTTTGTGAGAGAAACAGGTGAGATTTTTATTTTCATTCTGGTTGAATTCATTTTGTTTGTAGTTTAAGGACTTCAAAATGTTCAAGTTTGCCCATTGCAGGATCACCTGAAAGCAGACGTGGGACAGTTATATTTCTCCATGGAGCTCCAACACAATCATACAGCTATCGAGTTGTTATGTCTCAGGTTCTAATTCTGATATTAGATTTACTACCTTCGGAGTTAGAAAATTTTGCTAACAGTTTCAGATAGTCAGGACTGATCAGGACCTTGGCTCTTTTCGTCGTGCCTTTTTCTATTTACTTGACATATTTGTCAATGTTTTAACTTGGTAGTATTATATTTGACATTTACTTAGCACTTCATGCAACTCAATTTATATGGCATTCTTTCTACTTTGGGATGTTCCGAATTATTTCATACATTTTAATTTTTGTAAAATTTTCACAACTCTCAAGAGTATTTAAATTCATTAAGCAAATTGTAAACTTTGACGTGATGTTTTCTTTATCACTCTAACTATGCAGTCATTCTATTTAGACAATCTTTTTGTGTTCATTGACCTACTCAGTTTTAAATTTCTATTGTCAAACCAACTTTTAATATAGTAGTATTTTCTTCTTCCATAATTTATACTATGATGTATAAGTCAATATGAGCTTTTTACAATCCATCTCCAATTAGTCTTTTTAAATGGGACAATGTATTAGAGTAGTTTTCGATTATTCAGAAAATTTATAGGGATGCTTTTAAAATAGATACTTGACAAACTGACTATGTTCAAAAGGCAGGTGGTATGATATTTTGAAGAATACCTTCTTGAGAAGAACTTACATAAGATGATTTGGTAATTCTATTGATTTTGTCACTGTCTTTTCGTTGTTATCATCTTAGACTTAAAAGATATGAATGTGTGATCTTGGTCAGAAGCAGGAGGAATTCGTCTAGTCACCATATAACTTGTTCTTCAGTTTTATCTGTTCAGAATATCTCTCGATCTTTTTATCTTCTTGATAATGTTGGTCTTTATTGTTCAACAACAAGCTTTTTCTCTCTGGCTAGATGGCGGATACTGGATTCCACTGCTTTGCACCTGACTGGATCGGATTTGGATTTAGTGACAAGCCACAACCTGGTTACGGTTTCGACTACACTGGTATCGAGACCTTCTCACTCTAAACTTCAGTTTACTTCATCTGAATGTTGTTTTCTTAACTAGGCAACATTATGAGGTTCTGAACAATTTTACTGGCAGAGAAAGAGTTCCATGAAGAGTTCGAGAAGTTACTTGAAGTCCTGGGAGTGACGTCTCCATTTTTCCTCGTAGTTCAGGTCTGAGTGACATTAACCACGCTGGGACTGAAAATTTTATGTTACATATCGAAGAATATTATTGGTACTAGTCAGTATTGGATGATAATGGATGGTGTAGATTTTGGTTGAACTAGGAAGAAATTTTTCTTTTTCTAATAGATTTTTCTGTTTGTAAATTTTTACTCTACGTAGCTACATGATTAGCTATTGGCCTCTATTATAGGAGGTTATATATTATCAATTCTCCTACATATTAGAGCTTGATTAACCAAGAAACTCTCTCTTTTTGTTAATACTGAACTTCAGTGTGTAAATAATTTTTTTTAACAGAAGGATATATAGAAATGAATAGAAGAAGAGTGAACTAATTAATTGATGCTTCTTATCTGTTATTTTTGCTATCAACGAATTGAAGTGATACTAAACAAGTGTCAATACTGAAGTATGCATCGTCAGACAGGGGAAATGACCATATTCAAAATAAAGGAACATGAGATAGATAGGAAAATTTTGTTGGAAGTGTTGTGTTCGAGAAGCTTTTGGTGTGCGCATGACAATCTAAAATAACTACTCTTCTATGTTAACTGTCGATCACTGCCCAATGAGGCACCAAGTATTTATCTTAAATATAATAATCTTTCTTGCACTTTAAAAGCTATTTTACTGCATTTCTTGCATGTTAATTTTAGGCTTCTTGCATTTTTAGATGGTTTTATAAGTCAATTTCTTAAAGTAGAAGCTAAATTTTTTGAACTTCTGCTTAGGTGCTTAACTTTATCTGATAATATATTTGTAGGGATTCCTTGTGGGTTCATACGGGTTGACTTGGACTTTGAAAAATCCCAGTAAAATATCGAAGCTTGCGATTCTGAACACTCCACTGACAGTTTCTTCACCTATTCCTGGACTTTTTCAGCAGCTCAGGTTTCATTTTCTGTGTAGTCAATCAATTGCTTGCATCTCATGGTATATTGACTGCTCTTAATTATTGCAAGAAGAATATTAACTGCTCTTTTCACATATTATGGTATTCAAATCCTAATTGGAAGCCTTCTGTGCCCTTTTTGGGTCTTTAGTATTTTTTTCATCTTTCAAATTTCTGGGAAGTTAGCCTCCTAATTGTACTTACTTTTAGTCTGCCCTTTATGTAGAAAACCGAAAACTATTGGGCTTCAGACTGAATGATTTCAACTTAGGTGATTCACTTTGCTTAAGGGGCATGTATTATGTGTAGATGTGAGAAATGCTCTCTACCCTTTAACTCCATATTAGTAAAGAATGAATTTAGGTTATTGAAATAGCTTCTATATATCTGGTTAGTCTGAAATTTCATCAAGATACATGAAAGCATGATATTTCTCAGAGATCTTGGGGTGTGTTTGGTACGAAGGAAAACATTTTCCGGAAAATGTTTTCCAATTTTCCCATGTTTGGTTGGCTTAAATATTTTGGAAAACATTTTCCTTATCAACTCATTTTCCTTCAATTGGAGGAAAATGTTTTCCTTATCAAGAGAAGGGAAAACATTTTCCAAAACTCCTTCTCAACCTTCCCCGCCC